CAAACCCACCTCAACCAAGCTTAAGAACAAGCTTCGAAGGTCAAGTGGATGCACAAGTAAATTAACCGCCTGCTAGAACAAAGTCTACCACTCTTCCATTAAGACAACAAAATCTGGTGCTCAGTAATAAAAACTCACCATTTCTAGCATTCAATAAGAAATTATTATATACTAGAGGCCCGATGCATGAAATTCATGCAAGAGTAGGCCTTCCTCCCCCTGGCTGCTGGCACCACCTTCCCTCCGGCAAAAAGACCCGGGCTTCCCTCGCAGCCCTGGCTTCCTCTGGAGGGTTGTCTGGTCTAATTAGCAGATTATGCTTTTATTATTATAGATTATTATAGTTGAGAAGCAGGAATTTGATACCTATAACCAAGAGAAAAATCAGTCAATAGAAATAACTCAGAAATGAAGAGATATCAGAATTAGCAGATTAGCAGACAAGGACTTCAGAAGTTATTATAAATATGCTCATGTATTTAAAGGAAAAAGTGACTTTGATGAGAAGTGGAAGATATAAAAAAAGAAATGACAAGCAATCACAGTAAAAGTTCTCCCCTCCCCACAACCCCCCCCAAAACTATAACCAGTCCTACAGCCTCTTTTCTGTAAAAGATTGTTTCATGAAACTTTGTACGTTTGTTTCCCTGTGTGGAAGTATTTTAGAATTGTCCTGGGAACATTATACATTATGTATAATCCTGAAGTGACCTTGACAGGTGCTGGGGGTAGCAGGAGGAAGGGATGATTATGACAGAATTCCAGATGCCTTTCTGCCCCACACTGACATTGTTGGTAGGAATTGCAGGACTTCTAGGTCCCTGAGGACAGAGCAGGAGGCTAAGGCTGAGGGATGACCAGGTTGAGAACAGGTTGGTATGTCAGGTCCACCTGCCTGTTGGCCCATCTGACTCTAAGGTCTAATGGGCTGAGCCTTATTGTGGCAGACCTCTCATAATTGCTGGCCATAATATCTTCCCCCCTCTCCTTTTCACCATCCTTTAACGGAACTTTTTAAAAATATATATTTTTATTTTTTTACAGAGAGGAAGGGAGAGGGATAGAGAGTTAGAAACATCAATGAGAGACATTGATCAGCTGCCTCCTGCACACCCCGCACTGGGGATGTGCCCGCAACCAAGGTACATGTCCTTGACTGGAATCGAACCTGGGACCCTTCAGTCCGCAGGCCAATGCTCTATCCACTGAGCCAAACCAGTTAGGGCAAAGGGAACTTTTTAAGGAACCCTTAAAACGATAAAAGCAATGTTAATTAAAAGCATTAAAGTTCAGACATGATATGAAATATTTGTGCAAGTCTCTATCATAGCTATGTTGAGTCTCAGTCAAAGCAAGCAATGTAGGGTCTAAGGAGAAGGCCTGGGTCTTCTCACCTAGCTCCGCATCCCCCTCAAGGAGGTATAGGTCTCCCTTATGTTCAACATACTTACGCTGACTGGTCTCAAAGCTGAATTTTCAAATTTGAAATCTCCCATATGATTAGCTTTTTAAGTTTGTTCATGTGGTGAAGAACTCATGGGGCTCACAAATTTTAGTCCATACATTACCTTAGTTCCTAAAACACTACTACCAACTTTAAATGTTAAAATGATAGATGATTGGAACTATTTTTATTTAGGATCGTTAACTGAAAACTCGTTTATTTCTGCACTGCCCCATGCCAGTAAGAGAATTGGAGATCGTGTTTTTAGCTATTCCCTGGATGAAGGAAAATAGAAACATGGGTCTCAGTTGAGTGCCCCAAGCTGTCATGCTTATATTTGGTGCCAGCTGGTCACCTGTTGGCAGGGACAGCAGAGAGCTCCATCCAGCTTCAAAGAGAACATCTGGGTCAGAACAACTACGCCCTGTGCAAGCCACTCACCAAACAGAAAACTTCCCTGCTCAAGTGCTGTCTAGTTACCAGCTGTATTTTAATACCCAACAAATTAAAAAATAAATTAATGAAAAATCTTTCCATTATATGTTGTTTCAAGAGACACCCATCTCCTTGCAAGAGAGCACATTTTTAGCTCACAAAACCACACAGAGTTGGGAATAAACGGTATGTTTTAAAAATAAAAACATAAACACAGAACAACTCAAATATCTTTATTCTCATCTGTACGAATGCATGTTTTGCCTTGAACATTTTGCTCTGAAAATCTCTTCTTTCACTCACCTTAGTGCTTCATTTTGTCGTCCATAAACATGTCTTCCCTGGGAGGAGAGGAAAGAAAAGGAAAGCTGGTCACGAGGACACGGTGATGACAATGACACATCAGGAACACGGTCATTGAACACACCAGGCTGAGAATCCATTAGCAGCCCACACAGATCATCCTCTCCATTATCTGAAATTAAAAGGGACCTCCAAAAAAAAACCCAAAAACAAAACACCCCCCCCCAAAAAACCATTTACTGCTCTGTCTACAAAAAGTGCTAGAACAGTAAACCAAAGAGACAAAACAGCCCTTAGTGGATCCTTAGAGCACTTCAGAAGGTGTAAATGGTAATTAGCCATATGCTACCCTCTCACAGACCAACAAGAAATATGCCTGACGGGTCAGGAGCTCCGTGGCCATTTTTCAGGTCAAAGGCAGAATGGCTATTGAGTAAGGAACAGTCCACAAAGGAAAGCTACACTAGTCCATTCTTTGGCCTCACACACAACAGATGAGAACTCTCTCTTCATGGGTCTGTAGCCACGTTGCCGAGTTATTACATATCCCAACTAGCGTCCTGGCTTGGGAGACAGGAAGTGCCTCTTCAGCGACAGCCCCACCCTAAAACTGACCTATTTACTCTGTTTACAAAGGAATCAGAGCACAAATATATTACAAAGATACTGTTGTTTTATATTAGTATTTCCGGATAAAAAAAGGTTCAGAGGCAGGGCCTATACCTGAGAGTGGTTTCAGATTGTAAGACCAACCAAACAAAAAGCCCACACACTTCTGAGAACTTGGTTTTATGTGTTGCTCTGCCAACGGTGTGACTTTCAGTAAATATATTATCTAACCTCCTGTAGCCTTAATCTATCACTTTTATAATGTGGGAGCTGGACTCAGCGATTTTTAAAAAATGACATTAACAGTGTCTGTGGGTATGAGGGCACCCTCTCCAGCATCTCATTTTCCTGAGATAAACCATTAGCTTTCCTTAGATTGGCAGGAGGTCCTGTGACTAACAAAGGTTAAAGGAAGGATCTCAGCCTGGTGGGAGAGAAAAATGAAACAGAATATTTGCAATCTTGTGCTGGAACAGAAAATTGACAGGAGGATTTGATTTGCTAATTTGGCTGAGAATAAGACACTTTCCTCATGCAAATGAAGACTGAAGAAGAAGATGAGTTTATATGGTTTAAAATGTAATACGATCCTTTGGCTCAAATAGCTGTATGCCAGCACCTTAGGGATTCATTTGGGTCTGAAAATCATGCCAATTCTCTGTGAATTTGTGCATTCATGTAACTTTCTACTTAGTGGCCTTCACTATTGGGAGACAAGATTTGGCTACATTCTTCTTACAGCCGATAAACACAGGGACAAGAGCCCTTCGAAGACTTAATGGATGATAAAGACTCCTTTATAATCTAATCCACTTGGTTCAGGCTGTTATGTGTTGACTTGGGGTTGATTTCATGATCAGATAACAGAGCAGCAAGCATGTAATTTCCATAGTCAACAACTCCTCCTCCTCCTCCTCCTCCTCCTCCTGGCTCTCGCCCCACCCATCCCATCCAGTCTTGTGGCCAAGAAAGTCTTCTCTGGAATGTACCGCCAGGGACTGGGAGAGGCCTTGCCAGTTTAATGTTGTAAAACAATGCCCAGTAGAGCTAACTGCTCAGCAAGCCTTTGTTGAATGAATTGTAATACTTAGGAGTTTCAGAACGATTTAAGGATTGGCCACCCCTCTTTCTGAGACAGAGTAGGTCAAGTGTAGCAGACTTGATTCTCTGAAATCGACTTTGGCTTCCTATTTTCTGAAAACAATGTGGATTGCTGGTTTGAATTTATACAGTCCATTTGGAGCTACGACTCTTGATACGCAGGTTACCATCCTCTTTGTGCAATACTTTAACCAACTAAAGAGGTTCAGAGTGTTCCAATGAAAGGGCGAGGGCTATGCCCTCCATATTGCCCTGTATCCTTCATCTTACCTTGGCCATGTGCTCGGCAAGGCTTCTTCCTGGAAGCCCAATCCTCTGCTAGCGACGCCCAGGATTTCTTTAAACTAACCAATGACAAGGGACGTGCGCACCATAGATATGACCACATCCTGTGTAACAAGACCCGACTTGCACCTGGCCAATCGGCAGGGCCCACAGTCATCTCTCCTCCCCTCACTCAACCCCTCTATTAAAACCCCTTATTCCCCCAGGGCTGGCACTTTCATCTCGCTGTTGCATCCTTAGAGGCTGGGAGCCAGACCCGGGTCTGTAATAATAATAAAGATTCTCTGCTTTTGCATCGTACTCGGCTGGCTCCCTGTTGGTCTATTGGGGATCTTGATATCTGGGCATAACACCAGAAGCATCCAGATCTTAATTATAGGGAGCGTTGAGGCATTTCTCCTTCTATAGGGCACATTTTCATCAAATCACAGCCTCAATGTATTGATCCCTGAGTATAGTAAATTCACCATTTTGGCCTGTATTACATACATAGTTGTACAACTCTCCCATGTAAGAAACACCAGCAATAACAGCAACAACAACAACACTGACATTTTCATTAAAGTTGGGCACTCAGGAATGAATTTGTTGAATTAAATGAATGTCCTATTATCTAAGCTCAGTGCCTCTTGAAAAAACATGTAAATTTGGACTCTTAGCAAACAAAACACTCTAGTATCTAAACTCAAACATAATTTCCCCCATATTTCATATCTCTCTACTGTAACTCCTGAATTTTAGACCTACCTCTGTTCCTACTCTTTTGTTTTATTGCTAAGGTTTGAGACATAGAAATGGCCTATTTCTCCACATTAAACTTCGATCTGTTTTAATATATATATTTCACCAACTTAGGGATGGCTTTTGAATGATTGTTGTTAGTTTGAGCAGCAAGATGGTGGAGATATGTCCATCTCATTGCTAAGTCCATTTTCTTTTTGCTTCTTCACCCTTTGTCTTCTTGCTCCTTCCTCCCAGAAATCCACCCACAGAATCTGACTTCCTTGTGATCTGATTATTCCCTTCTATTTGCTGTGTTTATATCAATTTAAGGTTGCCAGTTATCTGCACTCTGACTACCTTCATTAAGGCATCTTACTGTGACATACTAACAATCTAGGGTCATCTCAGCATGAAGGTTCCTGCAGAAGGAACAACATTCTTCAGATTTCTTAAAAAGACAGTAACTCCAGTACATTTAGGCTGGTGTACAACACTGATTCCCAAAGGATCTGATACAATGCTTAACATACATGAAGTCTATTATCTCGCACAGCAAGTTTCAGTAGACTTCTGGGACACCACATTAGCTGTGAAGCAAAAGACAGGGCACAGTGGTTAGGTGTGCAGGTTTTACGATAAAACTATAATGACTGAGTATAATTGCTTCAAAGCTTTATGTAGTTCACCAAGTTAAGCTAACCTTGTTTCCTCTCATAGCCCCCAAACTGTGTATTGGGTAGATACCCTATTCTAAACATTATGTTATAATTTTTTTTACAATTAAAAAACCCCAGATATTCATTACTCTTGAGTTATAAAAGAGACAGGTACTGTAAAATTATGGTAGAAAAGACTTCAGAGAAAAAATGAGGAAAGAATGCTTAGATGGGGAAAATGTGCTCTCAAAATGGAGCTCTTGAAAAAAGCTACTATCGGAGAAACTAAGATGGCGGCAATACCTTGAGCCTCAGGAGAGCATTGGTTAGTCCAGCTCTGCCTTCAGCGCATGCTCAGAAGCTCTGGCAATGACAGTAAATTGGGGCACGGAAATCCAGCTGGGCCTGGGTGGGTTAAGAGGGAAGGGCAGGATCTTAAAGGGGTAGTGACCATTTAAAAAAGCAACACTTCGCCCTGCCGGTTTGTCTCAGTGGATAGAGGATCGGACTGCAGACTGAAGGGTCCCGGGTTCTATTCCAGTCAAGGGCACATGCCCGGGTTGTGGGCTGGATCCGCAGTAGGGGGCGTGCAGGAGGCAGCCGATAGGTGATTCTCCCTCATCATTGATGTTTCTATCTCTCTCTCCCTCTCCCTTCCTCTCTGAAATCAATAAAAATATATTTAAAAAATAAAAATAAAGCAACTCCTCAAAAAAAAAAAAACCGAAAAAAAAATAAAAGAGGAATACCTCTGTCCCATTATTCCAGTCATAGGCCCTCCAACCTATCACCACCAACTTATCCCACTTTCTATGTTCCCTGTCTCAGTTAAGAGTACTTCCATTTTCCCAGTCATTGAAGCCAGAAACCTAGGAGTCATTCTTCATTACTCCTTTGCCCCTGCAAAATGCAATCACTATCAATTTTTACCTTAAATTTGACTTTATTTCTCCATCCCCGGTATCACTGTTCTGGTATAAGCGCTCACGCCCTCACTGGGTCTGAGGCCTGCCTGGGCCATTACAACAGGGTTGCACCTGGTGCTGTATGTATTTCCCACTGCGGTCAAATCATCTTTAAAAATCACACTCCTCCAGCTTATGGCACATCAGTGGTTCCCATCTCCTGTAGGAAAAGTTCAAACTCCTCAGCACTGCACACCTAGCCTCTAGCAACCATCAGACCTCATCCCGACACCATCCGGGTTGTACTTCCTGCTCTCGCAATAACCAACTCCTTTATACTCGGGCCCACTTAAAATATGTACACTTTTAGGGTAAGATGAAATAATCCAATTTTTACTTAATTTATTAATTTATCTGTAGGTCCTATATTAACTTATAATTTTTTTCACTCCTACACATCACGATGTCAAAGAAAACATTTCAAAAGTTAAAAATGTGCCTCTTACCAATGTAGAATGAACCCATTTCAGAGATTTTATTTTAATTAATGAAAGAATTAGTAGGATGGTAAAGCTGATTCTAAGAGCATTTGAGGAACTGGTTATTTCAAGGAAAAACAAAAAAACAAAACCCCAGAATGTTAAAATAAGATTGCTAGATCAGATACAAAACGAGTTAATGTTTTACGGTGTAATGAAATAATAGATGATCTTTTCTATTGAGTATAATCATTTATATCTCTACCGAACAAAAATCTACAAATTTACACATAACTGCACAGTACCTGGGCTCTAACTCATAGCAAATAGCAAAGTCAAACACAGGGAAATTCCCTACAGAATTAAATAACCCCGGCTTCCTTACTGCATTGAAGGACATACAGGCCTCTTCCAAGTGCCCGATAATTTTTCTTAACAATATATGTTTTTTATTAAAACACTTCACACAAATCGCTTCTACCAGTGTTTTCACACTACAACAATCACTTCTTGAGCCACCTATCCAAGTTTTCCAGAACGGCATTTTCATGCCCCCCTAAGTTTTCTCAGGTAAAGCACTCCTGGAGTCTTGTGTAAGTTCTTATGAGTTTGAAAAGAGAACAGATATGTTAGATTACTGTAAACATTGAAACAGTGTATAGTTATGTGGATGTTAAAAATGTAGGAGTAATGCCCCGGCTGGGTGGCTCAGTTGGTTGGAGTGTTGTACACCAGGACTTCAGGTTCAATTCCCGGTCAGGGCGCATACCTAGGTTGTGGGTTTGATCCCTCCTCAGGCTAGTTGGGAGGCAACTGATCTATGTTTCTCTCCCTCTCCCTCTCCCTTCTTCTCACTCTAAAAGAAAAAAAAACCAAAAAACTAAAGACATGGAAGTACTACATGATAAAACTGAGAGACACAGAAAAGTAGTACCCAGAAAGAAATGCATATAGCCTTAAGAATAATTATTCTTAAAAGAAGAAAATTGAAAGCAATAAAGCTAAGCCTTCAAGTCATGTAACTAAGGAAGAAAATAACAGAGTAACAAAAGAAGGAGAAAAAGAAAAGAATTGATAGAATCCGTAAAATAGAAAATAAAAAAATATATAGATAGGAAAATCACAAAACTGGTTCTTTAAAAAATACCTGGTAAGACTGATAAGAGCAGAACAATAAAAATGAACAATATTAAGATTGGAAAAATGGGTCATAAGTACAACTAGAGCATGATTTTTAAAAACCCTAAAAGAAGATGAACAAACGTTTCTAGAACTAAAAGTAATTCAAGAGCACAAAGCCGCAAAGGTATGCGATATCTACCTACCTACCTACCTACCTACCTAACCTATCTCTGTCAAAAGAGGCTCACTCTGAAAAGCAAGAGAAGTCCAGATGGTTTCAAGGAGAGTTTTACCAAACACTTCAAACTCGTTTTACTAAACTACCATAATCCTACAGCCAAATCCAGACCAGGTCAGCAGGCAGAAAGGATGTAAAATCGAGACTAGAACATTAGCGGGTCGCCTCCTCCGCCCAATATTGTATTGTGGTCATGGCCTGGACGCTGGAACACTCTGCAGCTGTCAAAACCAGCCTTAGGAGGTGGGGGAATGAGGGGCTGGGCCGGCGGCCCTGCCTCATCTTCTTCACCTTCCCACCCACCCACACACCTGGGCAGCCAGGGCCTGTCCCGAAGGTGAATCCTTCCCCTCGGCGCTCCCTCTGCACCTCGTGCACGTCTGCATTAGGCAAGTTTGCATAAGCGAAGCTATCGGTGGTGCAAGGCTGGCAGGACGGGGAAGAAACGCTGAACAGCCTCTTCCGCGAAGGATCTAGAACGCCCCCTCCCCCCTCCTCACATTAAACTGCTTCACACAAAAGGACAAATACTGCCGAGCCGCCACCGGGTCGCCTAGCCTTCCTCCCGCCTCCGCGCCCCCAAGCGAGGGCCGGGGGTGGCCCAGGCTGCGGTTCCCGGCTCCCGGTTTCTCCATCAGAGAGGATGCCGCCCGGGGAGCCACTTCCTCTTCCTCTCGGAGCCGCTGGCACCAGCTGTTTCTG